TCGCCTTGCCTGGCTGCCTCCATCTGGCTGGGGCCCTCAGCTGCTCACGAGACTCCAGCCTCCGGCCCCACTTCCCTTTAGCCTTAACCGCAGCCCCTCCATCGTGGTCACCAATTTTTTTACCTAGGGGTTCGTGTTCTTGACAAGTACACAGTTTATCCCCCTTCCTCTTCATTCTTTTTTATATTCCAAATGCCTCTCCATCTCCATGTTCAAATATTTCAGTCCTGTCCCACCAGTTCCTGGCAGGATCCATCATTGCGGCTATGAAGGTGAAAATGCCAGTTAGAGTGGGTGCAGGTGGTGGCGTTTCTGGTTCTGCAGCGTGAGTGGCCACATTGCAAACATAGCCTGGCTGCCTCTCTGCTACAAAGACCACACTCCCGCCCCTCCTTCACCTGCAGCAGGGAGTCGGGGCCTTCCCCTCAACAGGAGCCACGGGCTCGGCACAGGCTTGCTAGGCGGGGAAGCCAGTCATGCCTATTATGGCAGACATAGGTGCTTCTCAGGAAACCCCTGTGCACCCAGCACAATCTGGCAGAGTCCAAGCCCAGATCCAAGTCGCCACGCGCCTCCGCTTCCGTCACTCCTCCCACGTATTTATGGAATGCCTGCCACATGCCAGGTGCATTCTGGGCTCCCAGGGCAGCAGGATGATTGATGTTCTGTCCTTATATTCAGAAGGCTCAGAAAATCATACCACGCTGGGCAAGGGCTGCACACCCACAGGCCTGCCTTGTTCTAGGTGCCAGAGGACAGGGGTGCCTGCTCAGCGGGAAGGCAGTGACAGCCAGCAAGAGGGGGCTGCCTGGTGATTCTGAGCTGAGACTAAAAGATACATGGGAATTAGCCAGACCAGAGGCTGGGAGGAGCCTGGCATGAGGTGGGCACAGGCATTCCAGGGGACATGGTCTGGGTGGGTGAAAGCCTGGGAGATGTCATCTAGTGAGGACCCAGGAAGGGCAGGCCAGATCCGGGCAGTGCAGTTGCTGCTGGGGGAGGGAAACTAGGGCAGCCGGTGAGACTCAAGGCTCTGAAGTGGGCAGGAGTCCCCCAGAGCCAGCCCGGTCCCGTGGGAGAGCTTGCCATCCCATGAGTTGAGGTGGGGAGTGTAGGGCTGAGCAGGCTGCAGCCTGGGTGGCAGGGACAAGCTCTGCCCCTGCTGCCCTGCATGGAGGCCCCTGCCCACAGCTGGAGGAGCAGCTGGCCTAGAGGAGACAGAGCGGGGAAGCCAGGGCGTGGCTGGAGAGGAGAGAGCAGAGACCCACGTGCCCTGGGTTGGGAGGGGCTGACTATAATGACGCAAAGACCTTGGTGGAACAGGAACACTGCCGGGAGTCAGGCCCCTGGGCCCCTGGCCTGTGTCCCTCCTGGGCCATACACTCTGTCTGCCGCCTCTCCCTCTCCCTGCATTTCCACCTATCCCTCTGCGGCCCGCCGGACTCTCCTGCATCCCCAGGAAAGATTGGCTCAGCCCCTCCAACACGCCACTGGCCAGTCAGCTGGGCTGGAGAGCTGGCAGGTCCTGCTAAGAATTCAGGCTGCCTGGCTATCCCCCTGGCACCCGCGGGGCCAGGCCAGCTCACTGAGGAGGGGTGGTCTCCGTTACCATCACACTGTGCCCTCCCAGGCTTGCTGAGTCTGTAGCTCCCTTTCAGACCATGCAAGACTCCCAGTGAGGGAGAGAGGATGGCATTAGGAGTAAAATAGCTCCAGCACTGTCCAGAGACAGGTGACCTGCCGAGGGTTCGAGTACAGCCCGTCTGGGGTGCTGGCTGTGGCGCCCCTTAATTCTTAGATGGCGCTCCACCCAGGGGCTATGACGCCCCCAGTCTCCTGTGGTTCTTCCAGCCCACCTTTGCCTGAACTTCTTCCCGCACTTCACCGTCCTGTGTGAGAGACGCGTGTCATCGTAGGGAGAGTTTGACTCTGGTTCACTGCTGCTGGGTTCAAGTCCTGGCGCAGCTGTAGCGGCAGTGTGACCTTGGTGAGGCACTCTCTCTTGCAGAGCCTCTGTTTTCCTGCCTCACCCCACCTTGCACACAGGCCCAGGCTGGCCTGATGGAGACTGGGACGTGAGGGGCAACCGTGGGGCTGTCGTGGTTTTAATCACCTCTCCTGACACTTTCTACCTCATCTTCTGGAGAAAGTCTTCCTGCAACCCCAGCCTCTGCCTAAATGCTCTGCGTATTTTGTTTACCTGAACTGTTGACCACAAACCAGAACTGAGGGCTCCTCCCAGGGCACACCCCGTGTGGGGGGAGGGGCGGTGGAGTCCCCCTGCTCCTGGCTGTCACCCCTGTGCAGATCGTCCCCACTGAATCCTGCACCAGTGGGCCTGTCGCTCCTCATCACTGTTTTGGCCCCCAGCTGTGACCTTCATGCACTGCTCCTTTTGTCCTTGAGGCTTTTGGAATCTCCCTGGTCAGCTCTCCTGTTACCCTTTCCCACTTCCCTGTCAGCAAACCAATCACCTGGACCCGCTTCCACTGGCAGTGGCGGCTGCCGGCCACGTGCACCCTGCCCCTCCGCCGAACCCCGCAGGGGCTGAGTCCCCTGCCGTGGCTCTCAGGGCCAACCCCGCACGGCTCTGCCCACTCTGTCCACGACCTCCCAGCTTCCAGCTAGTTAGTGGGCTCCCAGTGCTGCACCAGAGGCCCCTGGCCCCCACCGAGCCGTGCTCCCCGAAAGTCCTCTCTGTCTTGGGTGTCCCTCCCCACCCCTGCCCATATTCGCAAGCATTTCCGTCCTTACAAAGACACCCTCCCTTGCCCTGCGTGCCTTCCAGCTGCCACCTGTCCCCTCCTCTGTCTTCACTCCCAGCCCGGACTGTTTGTCCCCACTGCAGCAGGAACCTGTGTCCACCATGGTGTGAAACTGCAGCGGGGGAGCACGGAACTCCAAGGCCACAGCCGCTGGAAATGGCCATGCCTATTTTGACCTCTTTTCAGCCAGGGAGAGGACATCACTTCTTCTGGAAAATTCGCCCACCCCTTGCTGCCCTGGCTCCAGGCGCACCGCCTCCTGCCGCGTCTTCCCGAGGCCTGTGCGTCCTTGTCATCGGCCTTAGATGCTCCCTGCTCCCCTCCTGGCCTCCCGCGCTGCTCCTCCCTGAAGCCTTCCCCTGGGCATGCCCACACTTCCACCACCGCCTTCTAGAGGAGGCTCCAGAGCTGCCCACCTCTCCAGTCCAGCGCGGACTTAACCGTCTGCCCCGCCCTTGTCTGGTATTCTGCTGCCTGTCGGGAGGCCCTTATTTATTTATTTTTTTTTTCTTTGAGACGGAGTTTCGCTCTTGTTACCCAGGCTGGAGTGCAATGGCGCGATCTCAGCTCACTGCAACCTCCACCTCCCGGGTTCAGGCAATTCTCCTGCCTCAGCCTCCTGAGTAGCTGGGATTACAGGCACACGCCACCATGCCCAGCTAATTTTTTGTATTTTTAGTAGAGACGGGGTTTCACCATGTTGACCAGGTTGGTCTCGATCTCTCGACCTCGTGATCCACCCGCCTTGGCCTCCCAAAGTGCTGGGATTACCCTTATTGAGGCCGGCGGCCAGGGCCTTTTCTTCTCAGCCCTTGTGTCCCTCCCCACATGCTCCCCACCGAGTCAGTCCCAGGCCAGTCACTGCTGACAGCTTCAGCGCTTCATTCCCTCCGCTCCATTTTCTCTCTGATATTCAGAGGCCTTTGCTGTGTCTTGCCTAGACTATTGTGATGGCCTCTTTTTAAAAATCCTTGGCTTTTTAATTGTATAATGTATAGCAGGAACCAGATCTAAATAAAACTTAGTATCTGCCCTTGGGAAACTCATGGTAATGGCCGTAGATCAACTTCTAAACACAGCACATCTCAGCTTGGCGTGAGATGCACCAGAGCAGCACAGCTGGCGTCTGTGGGACGCGAAGGTGCAGGGCGGGGCGGCGTCTGTGCCGAATGTCCCCTGGCAGGTGAGAGCGCTCGGAGGGACAGTGCGGGTCTGGCCTGTGCTTCTGTTCCACATTCTCTCCTTCAGCACATGCCCAGATTTTCACGGTCTGACTCGTGGGCTTTGGAGGTTTCGGACATCGTGTGCACCTTGAGGGGCATGTTTCTAGAGTCAGAACTTGATCAAACTGTGTCAGGGGGAGATTTGCAACAAAAAACAAAACCCTACACGATATTCACACAGGGGCAGCTTCTTTGACACTCGAGTGTCTCCCTGAGCTAAACGAAGCCTCACTTCAAATACACCTGAGTCTTGTCACAAAATCAGCTTTACCCGGGAAACACCCAGCACTCACAGTTTCTTCTCTTTATTTACATATACCATGTTCTACAGTGTTAACCTGCACAATCACAGTCACCAGGCCGAAAACAGCACCTCACAGTCAGGGCTAGATTTGGGGTCAGGTGGCTAGCCTGTGCCCTCCTGTCACCTTTCCTGGCGCCCCCACACCCTGCGCCTCCGCCTGTCAGTAGGGAGTCAGCCCACAGCTCCACTACTGACCCGTGGAGCGTCCATCAGCACAGCCCGGCCACGTGTGCCCAGGTGCACTGCCTCCCTGCCTGTAACTTATTCCCTGAGGACACGCCAGCCCAGCAGGCAGGAATGGAGACCTTACTTCAGAAATGGTCACCAGGAAACTCTGTGCCCAGAGGGGTTGTGGGGCTGCGGTGATAATGCCAGGCTGAGTTGCAAAGCCTGGGTGGCCTCTGCAACTCTTCCCAAGATTTGCCGCAGATGCGTTACTTTACCGTGACCCGGTTTCCTCCCTGCTGATGTGTGCACTGGTAACGTGGAGCGCAGTCCAATAGAATCCAAGTTCCAAGAGGGCAGGGCCTGCCTGTCGTGTTGCTTGTCACCACGCCCCAGGTACCCCCTTACCAGGCATGTTGGGTCCCTCATACACTGTCACTGAGTGAATGACGGGGCGTGACCTGCGGGCCCTGCAGCCTGCACATACTCCGGGTGTGATGGGACTTTCTCTTTTGTCCTCACCTGTGTTCGTCTGTCTTTCAGGAGCCCAGCAGCCGGGACCGCCCTATTACACCGACCCAGGAGGACCGGGGATGAACCCTGTCGGGAATTCCATGGCAATGGCTTTCCAGGTCCCACCCAACTCACCCCAGGGGAGTGTGGCCTGCCCGCCCCCTCCTGCCTACTGCAACACGCCTCCACCCCCGTACGAACAGGTAGTGAAGGCCAAGTAGTGGGGCGCCCTCACATGAGAGGGGAGACGGGAGAGGGTCTTTCCCTGGCCTTTCTGTCCCCGTGGATGTTCACTTCCAAGAATGGTCTCACGGGCCGCCAAGGGCAGTTCCTCTGATATCCTCACAGCAAGCACAGCTCTCTCTCAGGCTTTCCATGGAGGACAATCTGTGAACTCACACTGTGTCTCCTCTGTCGCTTCTGTTTCTGACGAAGTCTATGCTCTCACGTGGCAGTGTGGTGACAGTCCCCGAGGGCTGACGTCCTTACGGTGGTGTGACCAGATCTTCGGGAGAGAGACTGAGAGGAAGAAGGCAGTGCTGGGGGTGCAGGTGGTGTGTGGAGGGGCCAGGTCGGGCATCCCAGGCAAGCCGCCTTCTGCCAGGTATTAACAGGAAGCCCCACGCCGGGTGGCTCAGCCAATGAAGCAGCAGCCGGCTGAGCTGAGCCCAGCGACCTGCTCCAGCCTGTCCTCCCGTCAGCCGTCCTCTTCCAGAAGATGTTGGAGCAACATTCAGGAGAGAGCAAGCCCCTTGTCACGTTTCTGTCTCTGTTCACTTCCTAAAGACAGGCTTCTCCTGCACCGCCAGCGAAGAGCAGCGCGTGCCGCGCTCACCGCAGGATGTTGCCTAGAATCAGGCCTGCATTGGAGGTCTGACGGTGATCTGAAGTTCACTAAGAAAAGTTATTTAAATTCACGGGAAATCACTTCCTGCCCTTAACTGAGACATTGCATTTTGTGTCTGACTTAGAGAAAGCACTGTTACCCGGTTCTTCAGTGTGTTCATGGAAGTGTGTGTAGAGTGTCCTGTCCTTGAGATTGGACTGGGCTTTGTCTTCCCCTAGACGTTACCGCCTCTCCAGGGTGTTCTCAGGCCCAGGGGTCCCCTTCCCTCCAGCAGTTCCAGTGGTGGGTTCTGAAGGGCGGTTTGAAAGCAGGGGGCACATCTGGCTGGGAAGTCACATGGCCCTTTCTGGGAGAGAGACCAGCTGAGGCGTCAGCGGGGCACAGCCAGCCGTGATGACCGTAGTGCGTGATGGTTGTGTTGGGTCTGAGCGCGTGTATGCTGCGCTCCAAGGAGGAGGAGCTTGCTGGGAAAAGAGAGAAGTACTGACTCAACTGCACTGACCATGTCAAAATGAGAATAAAGAAGATGTGTGATGCACATTCCTGGATAGGAATCGCAGCTCACCCCAGGATCTCACAGGTAGTCTCCTGGGTAGTTGATGGCTAGCAGGGATCTAGCTTTGTCCCGCTGCATAGTTGTAGTGATGATGTGTGAGTCCTGACCTGTCCTGTGTGCTGACGAGCAATGCCGCGTAGCTGAGCCATGTAGCTGAGCCGCCTAGATTACTAGATATGCTGTATCACGAGGAATGAGGTAGGGGTGCTTATATTTAATGAACTAATCAGAGCCTCTTGAGAAATCATCACTCATTGAATTGGAGCATCAAGACCTCTCACAGAAGTGGCTACGGAGTCATTTGTTGTCTGTGCTTTTCACTCTGAGGACATAGAATCAGAGAACCACCTGGGGATTTCCACGGGAAATACTTGGGAACCAAACAGACACCCTGGGAATACAGTTGAAAGCACAGATGCTGCCACCACTGTCTCTGACCCACCCTGGTGTGACCGCTGGCCGCCAGGGCGGGACCTCCCATGCTACAGGCCTCCATCTAAATGAGACAGCAAAGCACAAGCTCACTATTGACAACCAAGACAACTGCGTGGGTCCAAACACTCCTCTTCCTCCAGTTCATTTGTTTTGCATTTTTAATGTCAGTTTCTCCCTTTATTTTTTGTAATGAAAAAGCACACTAAGCTGCCCCTGGAATCGGGTCCAGCTGAATAGGCACCCAAAGGTCTATGACTCAATTTCCTTTATCTTTTTGATAGCAAATGGTGTTAAGAGACTGAGTGATGTCTAGGGCGCAACAATTTTATATTCCCATGTTCGTGTGAGACGGATTTTGCTTTCCCTTGAACCTGGTTAGAATTGTGCTACTGTGAACACTGATCCTGCATATGGAAGTCCCACTTCGGTGACATCTCCTGGCCATTCTTGTTTCCATTGTGTGGGTGGTGGGTCGCGTCCACTTCCTGGAGTGAGACAGCTCCTGGCGTGTGGCATTCCCGGCACCTCCGTGATCCAGAGTAAACTCGAAGCAGATCTGTGCATGCTTTTCCTCTGCAACAGCTGGCTCATTTCTCTTTTTTGTTCTCTTTTGATAGGATCCTGTTTCCTATGTGTGTAAAATAAAAGTGAATTTGGGCATGTGCTTTGCTTGTTTTGTGGGGGAGTGGGAAAGAGGATGGAGATGAAGGTTCTAATGAGGAAGGACCTACAGCCGATCCTTGGTCCAGCAGGCTGGGGTGGGTGGAGGATGCACCCAGTCTCCGAAGAACCAGAAACTCGATGTTACTTGAAAGGGTGAGATACAGGCTATGGAGACAATTGTCCCTGGTGGGTCAGAAGACAGAAGCATTGCTAAGATAATGTGCAGTTGATACTGTTAGTTTACCTGGAGCTGGGGGTGTTTTTCATAGGTGGGAGGAGGCTTCCTTTTAAAATACAGCTCTGCTTGGTCAGAAATAATACTTCTCTCACCGATGCTACTGAAGGATGTAGCTGCTGCAGTTAAACTGCAATTTAGTAATTTATTTTCTGTTTTATTTTATTTTTAGAAATAGGGGTCTTACCATGTTGCCCAGGCTGGTCTCAAAATACTGATCTCAAGTGATTCTCCCACCCCAGCCTCCCAAATAAGCTGTATTTGAGATGTGTCACTAATTGAAATCATGTTTTCAAAGGATTTTCTATTTTGCTTCCTATTTTTGTTTGTTTGTAGAGACAGGGTCTTGTTCCGTCACCCAGCCCGGAGCGCAGTGTTTCAGTCATAGCTCACTGCAGCCTCAAACCTCTAGGCGCAAGCGATCCTCCGCTTCCAGAAGCCGTGGGATCACAGGCATGAGCCACGGTGCTTGATTGATTTTTAACTTCTTAAAGCACTAGTCCTAGAGCATAGTCCCTCCCCTAAAAGTCTTCTGCAGAGCATTTGGGGACCAAAGCGGCGTCCATCTCTGGGAGAGTGGCAGCGCACACCTGTGTGTTGAACAGTCGGAGCAGCGTCGTAATGCTGTTAAATCCAGGGCTCCCCCAAACTAGTAGGCCATACAGTTCTTTGCCTTGCAGCAGGCAGGGCTGACAGTAAGCACGCCACTTCTGCCCACCCCATGTTTGGGGACGGCTGCCCTGAAAAGCAGAACAAAGAAAGGGCAGTAATGCTCCCAACTCACTTCTGCACCGTTGCAGCTAGGCCTTTTATCAAAGTGCTTGTCTCAGGCAGGGCGCAACAAGTCCACTGGCTGCTTGGCACAAGTCTGTTGGATTTTTAAAATATATTTTACATCTGTTTTCACCTTTGAAAGGCAATTGCAAATGACCCATTTTTATGATAAAACTGAGTGCAGGTGCAGCCCCACTGACATAAATGGCTTTGACGCTACGTATGACAGTCGATGTAAAACACCAGCTTCTCAGACACCTGAGCTGCAGACCTCCTGGGCTAAGCCTGGGGAGCCTCCTAGGAAGTTAAGAGATTTTCTAGTTCAAAGGGCCCAGGAGGAGCCCAGTAGTTTTCAAGTTGTATGAACCTGAAGGCTTCCCGACAATCGTCCAGGGGTTCCTCAAATGCTCAACTACAAAATAAAATGTTATTTGACCACATTTAGGCATTTTGCCCTGAAAAATTTAAAGCATACTGGAAAGCTGAAAAAAAAACGATAGTGAACACTCATAAACCCACTGCCTAGATTATACAGCGATTGTTATAAAAACTAGCGTGCTTTAAAAGAAAAAACTAGTGTGCTTTTTCTGACACTTTATATAGTGTATTTTAAAGCATTGGTGGTCACTTTGATCCTAGAATAAGGTAAATTAGTTTATTCTCAAATGCTGTGACCTCCCTTTTTGGTGATCCTAAGTGCAGTTCTAGTCAAATCCTTCAAACACTGAGGTCTGAGCCACCCATTCTAGCAGGAAAACATTATCTTCCCTCCTGTCCCATCGGACCCTGGAGCTTCACTCCGTCCTCCAGGTCTGTGCCCTGTCTTCACATTGGTGGTATCGGCAGCCTCTCCTGTGGGGTCCCACGCATGCTCACCTGCAGCTGCAGCTGACCCGGCCCGCCCAGGCACTTCCAGAGGGGTTCCATCCTGGGCTACCTGTTGGGCCCATCCTCCAGGCCAGCCCATAGTTGCAATCCAGTCACTCATCCAAACACACCTTCAGGTCCCTCTGAGATGTGTTTGCCACCAGAACCCAGGACTGTTGATCTATCTGATGAGTTTCCTGACCATTGCATCTCTCCTGGGAAGGGCCAGGCCTCAGCCCTTCCTTGGAAGCTCCTTGGTGCCTCTGCAATTTGCCCGCCTCGTCTCAGGGCAGCCAGCACTGCCACCCTGGGCCACTTGGAGGGTAGCTGTGGACTCCAGAGGCCCCATCACATTCTCTCCTCGGGGCCTTTTATTAAAAAAATGTATTATTTACTCTTCAGCACTTAAGTACGTATTCTGAAAAAGAAAATACGGTTTAGCTTGTTTTATAAACGGAACCCTGCCATCAGTTTTACCTAATAGAAGGGGTATATTACAGGAACAGGTTTGATGGATGCTAATCTCATCCAGGACCCTCGTCGTGTGGACAGGAAGTAAGCCAGAAGAGGCTGAGCAGCTCACCTGACATCACAGCCACCTGTGGGGAAGGAGGCCCCACCTGGCCAGCTTCCTTCAGTGAAATGGATGCAGAGATTGTTTATGAGGCAAAGGTCATGACTTGAGATGCAAACCAAATGCCCACTTTTATCTGTCCTTCCCAAATATCACTGAACGTCAAAAAATCCGTAACAGGCCAAAAAAGTGCAAGAAAAAAATGTTGAATCATTTCTGAAATAGAAGAAGGGAGGTGAGTTGACTGATGGGAAGCAGCTCTGAGGAGATAGAAGTTGATCTGTCCACAGAAGGTGGCTAGGGAGGGAGGAGCTGTTTCTCAGGCTCCACACTGAGGCCAGCAGGTGCAGAGAGACGGAATGTGCTGGCAGGGACGGGGAGATCAACCAATGGCCACTGCGAGAATAGCTGTGCCAGGGACCAGAGGCCTCCGTCCTGACTCCCTCCTGCGCCTCATCC